ACCCTCTTGAGGTGGAAACGAGCCATTAGAATCCTTTTAGAGTAGCTCCAGAGTGGCCAGAGGTCCAAGCAGAAAGCATTTGAAAGACGATAGGAGAGGACCATGCTTGGCTCCGGGGTTCTCGGCCCCGCGCTTGGAGGCCGGCCCACACAGCCCGCTTTCCCGCACCGTCCCTGCGTGGTGGCCAGGCCCTGCCGCCCTCTTACCGCGCCCTGCCTCCCCAGGATGAAGCCGGTGGGGAGCGTGAATGACGTGGCCCTGGATGCCTTAGACTTGGACCGGATGAAACAGGTAACATGACCTTTCCTGCGTGGCCATGAGGGAGCCAGTGGCTGGGACCCTCTCGGGTCCCCGCAGTGAGGCAGGCTCCACAGAGCGACTGGAAGTCTGTCAGGGCACTAGCAGAGGAGGAAGGGGGCGCCCACGCTCAGCACTGGGCCCACAGCCCCGTCATCACCAGAAAAGCACCCTTGTCCTGGACACTCCAGCCTGCTCTAGGGCTGCCCCCACCCCTGGGACCACCCCTGGTTTCTGCGGGACTGGAGGGGTGTCCCATTTAAATTCTCCAACCTTGCCCTGTGGGGACACACAGCCCCCGGCAAAGCCAGCTTCCCCACTCTGCTCGCTACAGGAGATCCTCGAGGAGGTGGTCCGAGAGCTCCACAAAGTGAAGGAGGAAATCATCGACGGTGAGTGGCGGGTCTGCCCGGGGGCATTACCCAGGGTCCCCGGGGAGAAGCAGGGCAGCCCGTTCCCCAGGGATATAAAGCAGCAGAGCTGTGGTGTGGCCCAGCCAGAGAGAGCATCCTGGGCCCGAGGCCTGCTGTTCCGTGCTCACAGTCCCATTTGCCTCCTGACCCCCACATCACCCCATTCTCCGGTCCAGCAAACTGAGGCTCAGTTAAGTGACTTGTCTAAGATACACACCTCCCCGGCAGGGTGCATTTAGTTCTGCGCACACCCAGCTTCCTGCCTGGGGTAAACGCGTGAATGTGTGCAAGGGGAGAGGGGTCCGAGAATGCTTCCCAGTGCGGGACCGTGGAAGCCACCTGAACAGTCGTGTCCCTTGTCTGTCTCCCTGTCTGTGCACTCACACTGCTGCCTTTGATCACCGGGTTTGGGCTAAGACGGCAGCTGCCTCCCCTGGGGGGCGGGCGGGGGGGTGTTGTGGGACCAAGAAGCCACAGCACGGCCTGTGGGTCTGACAGTCTCCAGCGGGCTGGGCCCTGTGCTGGGGGCAGACATGTGCTATCCTGAACCGAGAGCCCCTGGCTGCAGGGGTCAGGGCCCTGATCACATCCGCTCTTCCGGTTCCTGCCGGAGCCTTTGATACAGCTGGCTCGGCTCCGGAGCCAGAGGAAAAGGAGACATTTAGGGAGTCGCAGACCAGCCCACCCTGCCTCCTTTCGCCACCAGAGGCTGGGCCTGGCCCCCATGGCAGCAGCGGGGTACGTGGGCCAGAGAGGGCTCCATGAACTAAAAAGAGGGGGTGCTGTGAAGACAGAGGCGGCCCGCCAGGTGGGGGCCCACTATGGGGCAGGCAACCCTGAACCCTGGCCCAGTGCTAGGACCGGGCCACGCCCCGTCCTTGCCCCAGCAGAGCGCACTCCGTTCCTGTTTGTCCGCCCACACCCCCCCACGGGCCTGGGCCAGCCAGATAAGGGAGTTAATGAATGAAGAGCAAGGCCAGGCCTGGAGCCAGAGCAGAGACACAGGCCAACCATTAACTCCGCTTTATTGCTGGGGGCCCCACCGGGGAAGGGCCGACCAGCTGGCCCCAGGGCCAGAGCTGGTGTGCACCGCGGGTGCACCGCCAGCCTGTGTGCGGGGATGGAGACCGTGGGAGGCAGTGGGAAACGGGCCCCCCGTCCCTGCCTGGATCTGTGGGAGGCAGGGTGGGCACAGCTCTGGGCAGAAGTGACCTCTGGGTGGGTCCTCTCTCTGGCCGATGGGCCTGTGGGAAAGCGCAAGCCATGTGGTGCTTCTCGGAAGCCCTGCTGGCAGCAAAGCATCCAGCACTCCACAATTCCAGCTCCAGGCCCCAATCTGGGGGACAGCCATGAGGGGTGGGGACAGGAGGAAGCTGGGGAGAAAAGCCAGAGGCTTTAAGCCTCTGCCTCGTGACCTCTGGGAACCCAGCTCAGGCTCTCAGAGGACTGAGCAGGGCAGACAGCAGGCATGCCTTGTCCCCACCGCCCTGAGCCGCCCTGTCCTGTCCCCCAGCCATCCGGCAGGAGCTGAGCGGGATCAGCACCTCCTAGGGCCCCCGGCCCCTGCCGCCACCTCCCAAGACCACAGGCCCACTGCCGGCGGGGGACAGCGAGGAGCCCGGCCGGCCCCAGGCCTGCAGCACACGCGCACGCACTGAAGCCGGGACGTGCTCCATTCAAACGTCTTAACCTGTGATAAAATATTAAAATGAGGAAACAAGTTCAATTTCTGGATTTTTTTAGATTCTACCTGACACAGAACACCAGGTCTACTCGCCTTTTTTGTATTTTATATTTGCCTATTTAAGTGTACATTTCTTTTGGTTTATAGAGGACTCCCCAAATCACGCGCTTCATTAGACGGTTTCCGAGTTTTCTCCTAGGTGATGCTCTTAGCAGCTTGGCTGGCAGGGGCGAGCGGTCCCCAGCGTCGTGGTGGTCAAGTCTGTCCACGCACCGCGGTGTCTGTATCCACGTGGTAATAAACGCTTTCTGTCCACACCCCCGGCTCCGGCTCAGTCTGTTGCGCCAGCTCTGGGCCACTCCGTGCGGAGGATACCCCTCTGGGTAACGGCCCACCAACATCGTGGCCAGGAGCCGTGAGAACAAAGCGGCCACCTTGGTGGGCAGCTGGGCTGGAAGCAGACGGGGGAAGGGAGGAGTAAGAGTGGGGTCCGCTCGGCTTCCAGCCAGGGCTCCTGGCGACGGCCACCGCTACGGCCGCCCCCCTTCCCAGATGGGCCGAGTGCTGCCCACACCTGAGGCATGGAAGGGGCTGGCTCCACTCAGCACAGTGCGAGGAGCGGCGGCCTGGGCTTAGCAAGGCAGCAGGGAAGTGACAGGCTGCATCGTCCAGAAAGGACCAAGGCCCTGCCCTACGCCCCCACCAAATGCACATCCCAGCACTTCTCAGTGTGCGCACCCCTTTGGAGGCCAAGAGCATCTGCCCCCTGGAGGAGGAGGAAGAGGGGCCCAGCCAGTGGGCAGGCCTGCAAAAGCGGTACCATCTCCTGGCCCCCAGGGACACAGCAGTTTGCCCAGCTGTCCTGGGGCTGCGGGATGGGCGTGGGGGGGGCTCCTCAGGGAGAGGAGGTGAAGCTGGGGGCCCCAGTCTGATGACGGGACTGTTTTCTGGACACCCCAACTGATCGAGTACTCCAAACAACCTGAAAGACAGAAGTAGAATGGTTCTGCCTGTTGGGGTGAGCAGCCGGGGCCTCCTCTCAGAGTGGCTGCCCTCCCCACCCCCGTCCAGCAGAGACTCTAACCCAGGGCATCAGATTCCCTGCCAAGGCCCAGGAATCCTGACCTCTAGCGGCGGGGTGGGGGGAGCTGGCAGGTCATGACTGAGCTCACCCAGCTCCCCGGGGAGCCTCCTCCCCAGCACGGCCCTGCAGGTGGGTGTGCCGGCAGCCCCAACAGAGCCCCCAGCCGGCCGCCGGAGGAGCTGTGCTCCTGGGTCCCCCGACTCAGGCCCACCTGTTTGCATGGGGCGAGACCACCAGTCCACCCAGGCTAAGCACTCCAGCCAAGCTGCCGTGCCTCACACAGCAGGCCCTGGGGCCGGCGCCTCTTCCCAAGGCCATCTCAGTGTCTAGGGGATGGGGGTAGGCATGGGTGTGTGTGTACCTGGCATCACAGGCCACACCCAGCCCCCCAGCACCCACCCACCCCACCCACCACACAGTCCCCCTGCCCCTGGCCCCGCGGGACAGCAGCAACTTGCCTTCCTCCCGTCCTCCCTCTCCTGGGTCAGCTAGCTCAGCCCCAATGCACCCACCCAGGGGGTGGTCCTCTGCCCCCCCAGCCTCAGGGGCCACGCCTGTCCAGGGGCCCCAGGCACCCCTCCTGCTGCCTGCCAGCCTCTAGGAGACCAGGACCCCGCCCTACCCCACACCACCCCTCACAGCCCCCAGGTTTCAGCCATGCCCCCACCAGTCAGGACAGGGTCATTACTAAGGACATCAGCCCACTGCCCCCAGAGCTGCAGGTCTCTCAGCCAGTCCTATCTGTCCAGCCACCCGTCCACCCTCCGTCCATCTGGCCTGCGGCACCCGCTCCTAACGATCTCTTCTGGGGAAGCGGGTCAGGGAGAGACCACCCTCGGGGGCTCAGAGAGGGCTCCCCCGAGGCCAAGGCCTCAGGGTGGAGTGGGGGCAGGGGCATGGCTGAGAGGCGGCGGCCTCAGCACTCAGCCAGGCTGGAGCGCAGGAAAGGCTGCACACGGAGGGCTTCAGAGCCCCGGGGACTTGGGACCCGGCACTTTACAGTCTACGAAGACACAGAGGACGATGGGACACCCCAGGGCATGCAGGGGCCAGCCAGCAAGGCACCACCCCCCCACCCCCACCGGGGATGCTGCCTAAGCACACAGCGCGTCCCTGAGAGTGGGGGGAACAGAGGGGCTGTGGCCTGGGCTGGCGGGGAAGGCGGCCTGCTGGGCTGGGCCGGTCCCTTCTGAGGGGCCCTTGCCCGCTGCTGGGAAGCACACGTGCGGGTGTGGAAACCAACACTGAATGCAGGGCCCGGAGACCCCCGAGGAAGCAGCCCCAGGGAGACTGCGGCGCGGAGCACCCAGGGCAGGGCCAGGCCGCTCTCCCTGAGGCCAAGAAGCAGGGGGCCCGGCTGGGGTGGGGGCTCTCCAGGCTGCAGTCGGTGCCCGCTGTGGCCAGACGCGGTCTCGGGCTCCGGGGCCGGGGCGTGGGAACCAAATGCAGCCAAACCAGTTCTAGGCGGTGGGGGGGGGGGGGGGGCAGCGAGAGTCAGATCCTCAGCAGGGGAGCGAGGGTGCGGGGCGGCGGCCAGCAGGTCTCACAGACGGTCCTCAGCCAGCTTGCACACCCGCTTCACCCGGGCGTAGGGCCCCAGGGAGTCCTCGAACACAAAATCCCAGAGCACCTTCACCCACGAGTGGTGCTGCGGCAGGTGGTCGTAGTACTCGGGGGCAATCTTCCGCACCTGCGGGGAGGGCGAGCGGGGTCAGAGGCTGGGGCCGGGGCACGCCTCCCTGCCGCACACACGCGCGTGAACACACGAGCTGCGCACACACACACTCACAGGGACGGCCTCCCAGGGGACCCATGTCCAGCAGAGCCAGGCTGTTCAGGGCTGCCTGACGCGGGGTGCGGCCGGCCTGGGACACAGCAGACTCGGACCTCAGACCCCTGCCCTCCCCTCTGCAGCCCGTGCCAAGTTTCTGATCGAGGAGCTCCAGGTGGGCCCAGCTTCCGTGCCCCCAAGCAGCCCAGCCTGGCCTCGCTCCTCCGCCCAGCGACCCCTGCCCCCTCCTGTCCCCTCTGCACCCACCCTCAGCCCGCCTCCTCCAGGAAGCACTCCCAGCCTCAGTGCCTGCACGGGCACCCCCACCGCTCTTCACCCAGAGCAGTGGGGGTGCACCCAGGGCTCACGGCCTGCTTTAGAGGGGAAGATCAGGGCGCGGGAGACCAGACGACCTACTTGAAGCATGAGCAGAGAACCCTGACTTTGCCTGGGGGAAGCAAAGAAAGGCTCAGCTAAGAGCACGTGCTTCTGTGACCGTATGGGGTCCAGATTCTGGCTCTGCTACTTCCCAAGGCAGGGCCGTCCCCGCCTGAGCCTCTGCCTTGTCTGTGAAATGTGCACAACAGAGAACGAGAACGCCCAATGCACGGGCCTGGGGCGAGGCTGAGACAGCGCCCAGCACACAGTAGGACCACAGGAGCTTCGGCAGGAAATGCAGGGCACGCGAGGAGGGAAGGGGGCCACACAGCCAGGTCAGACTCCTGAGTCACATAGCCCGGACAGGTGCTCACACACCACACACACACAAACACGTGTGCCACTGCGGAACACTCAGACACACATGCAAGCACCTGCACACAGGCGTGCACACCCAGACAGCACTCATGCCCGTAGAACACGTGCACACTAGGCAAGCACACACGGACTCCAACGCTCTGACACCCTCCCCACCGGAGCCTCCCCAGCCACCCCGTGTCTCGGGTCACCCCTCCTCTTTCTAACCCACCAGCCCACCGGCCCCCAGCCTGAGCTCCTCCTCCTCTTCCTCCCTCTTCCTCCTCCAGAAACTCCCCAAACCTGGGGGGGCTCCAGCTCAGGCCCAGCCCTGGGGTCCACGGAGTGCCAGGCCCACCCTGTCCTCTCTATGCCGCGAAGGGGCCCTGGAGGGTCACAGGGCAGGGACCAGAAATGAGCAGGGACAGGGGAGGTGGGAGCCAGGAATGCGGTGCAGCTAGGCCACCCTGCCGGAAGGAAGGGGCAGCTGACGCGCAGAGAGGACAAGGGGCTGGCCCGACGGCGTCCAGCCTGGGTTCAAACAGGTTTTCATTCCCCCACGAGACCCTGCCCTCCCAGAAGCCCCCCCCCATTCTACAGCCAGGCCCCACCTATCCTGGGGGGCCTCTCCCGTTGCCCGGGGAACCACGACCCAGAATGCAGCCCGAGCGCGCCCGGCAGCGCCCCCCCCACGGCCCCCCGCGGCCCCCCGCCGTGTGCCACGCACCAGGGGCAGGTTGCAGCCCGGGATGCTGGGGAAGTCGTGGTGCTCCACGTGGTAGCCCACGTTGAAGGTGATGCAGTTGAGCGGCCCGTAGTAGGAGTAGGTCTCGTGGCCCTTGAGGAACATGTAGTGCTCAGCCACAAAGTGGCCGGAGATGGGGTGCAGGCCGAGCCCCAGCAGGGAGCTGGCCAGCAGGTAGACCACGGGCTTGAGTCCCCACAGGGCGAAGAGGGCGGCGTCGGCGGCCAGCTGCACCAGGGCGTTGAGCACCTCCATGCGGGTCACGGCCCTGGGGTGCACGCACAGCGGCCGCAGCGAGTAGAAGAAGGGCTGCAGCACCAGCCACAGCAGCTTGCGGGCCGGCGTGCAGAAGAGCCAGCCCTCCAGGCGCGTGGGCACGTCCACGTCCAGCCCGTCGCCGCCCAGGTAGCGGTGGTGGTCCACGTGGTACTTCTTGAAGGACGCGGCGTAGGGCACGCCCACGGGCAGGTTGGCGAAGACGGCCAGCCAGCGGTTGTGCGCCGCGCGGCCCGGCCCGAAGGCCGCGTTGTGCGACAGGTCGTGGATGGCCAGCGTCAGCGAGTGGTTCACGCAGCCGCCGAAGGCGTAGGCCCAGAAGAGCAGCCAGCGCCACGCCAGGCCCCGCACCAGGCGGCAGGCCAGCAGCTGCGCCAGCACCAGCCCCAGCACCGCCCACTTGAGGCGGGGGTCCGGCCGCATCAGGGCCTTGATGGCCGGGTACTTGGCTGTGGGGAGAACGGAGGAGAGGAGGTCACGGTGAGGGCGGCGCGCTGACCTCCTGGGCCTCCCTCTCCCCCCATCATCCACTGAGCCCCAGGCAGTGACACGGGGTCCCTCCAAACCCAGGCCTGCAGACGTCTGGGGATCCCTGGAGCCGCAGAGCCAGGCACACCGGCCTCCCCACCAGCTGGGGGCTCGGGGCAGACTTCCCAGAGCAGGGACGGTATCTGCCACCGGCCTGAAGAGCGAGCAGGTGTCACAAGTCACAGCAACATGAGGCCCCAAACCCAGGTGGCGGCCGAGAGCGCAGGCCAGCGCGCGGCGGTGCCAGGGGCGTCCGGCCCGAGGGACAGGGTGGGTGGGGTGCCCCGCCGCACCGGGAACCTTGGAGGGCACAGGGCTGGCCAGGGGCGGGGACATGGAGGGCTCTGGCTCTGGCTGCGGTGTTTCAGTTCTTAAACAAGATCTAAGGAAACACGATAAAACGTTGAACTCATTTATTTTGGGGTAGGGGGGTGCTCGTTACAGAGTCTTTTGTACTTTTCTGTAGTTTGTTCTACAGGAAAGAAAAAGACAATGATGGTGGGAGCGGGCCGAGCAGGGGAGGGCCCTCTGGCCAGAAAGCGGCCAGGCCCTGGTTGGGGGTGCCCCTGCGGCAAGACAGCTCTGCCTTCCAGAAACTTCCCGTGGGAGGGGTACAGAGTCTGGTGCTGTGTCCAGGGGTGGGAATGCACAGGGCCAAGGGGTCATCCCACACTCAGGGTGACAGATGCTCCCAGGTCTGCTCAGTGCCCTGGTTCCCAGGCCCTGGGACACAGAGCAGCGCTCTGATGCACGGATATGGAAACTGAGGCCCAGGTCAGCAGGGCTTATCCTGGGCACCCTCGGGAAAGCCAGTGCTGGTGTCCAGTGTCTTCATACCTCCTGCCTACAGAGCACCTGGGCAGCCTCGGGCTCCCAGCCTCGGGCTCCCTCCCTGGGCTAGTCCACAGACAGGGCCTGGAACCAGTCAGGCCCAGGACAAATCCTGCCCACCCCTGTCCTCCAACTGACCCAGGAAGTTACTTCCCCTTTGTGCCTGGAAGGGAAGAATGGGACAACTCCACTCAGCAGCCCGAAGTCCCCAAAGCCAGGCCCCTCCACCCTCCTCCCAGCCCACAGGCCTTTCTGAGAGCCATCCAGCAATGCAACAGGCTGAAACAGGAGTAGTGAGCTGCCTGTCCCTGGGAGTATGCGAGCAGAAACACACGATGGGAGCAAAGGGAGACTCTGGCTCAGAATCCTCCTGCCTGAGCCGCCTCCCCACAAGCCCCTCTTGGGGTCCCTCGATCTTGCTGTGTGCCCCGGGCTCCATTCCCACCCTCTCTGGGCCTCAGTGTCCCGGTGTGTGATGGCAGGGGCGTGAGGTGCTTCACAGGGTGTCTGTCCCCACAGAAAGACCCTGGCTCCATGACAGCAAACAGCCAGCATCTGCTGGAGATGCTGCGGGGAGCTGGGGTCCCCCTCTGCCCAGAAGCCAACAGAATGCCCCAGCCAGCACCTATCCCAGCGCCACCCCCAAGCCTTCGCCTCGTCACACAAACCGCGGTGTGGGCTCCAACACGGGAGCAGTGATTTCCACCGCCCTGAGGACAGCCCTCGAGGAGCCGAGGTGGGCTGTGAATCCCACAGTGGACAGGGCCAGAGCCCTGCCCCACGCCCGCAGCTCCCCCTGCAGCGGCCCTCCCCCTGCACACAGAGGTCGCCTCCAGCTGGGGACAGTGCCAGCCCCCCGGGGCCTCCCAGCTGCAGGAGGCCAAGGGCCCCTTTGATCCCGGGAGCTTCTCCCTGAGGCTGGGCCAAGGACCCCGCCTGGATGGTCGCAGCGCAGCGTAGGCGCAGGACTTCAGAAATCACAAGCCAGCCCAGGGACAGGTGACAAACCTCAGCCCCACTCAACAGCAGCACAGGACCCGTGTCCCAGGCGGCTGGGAGAGGGCAGTGTTCCGAGCGGGTTCAGATCCTCGCTGTGGGTGCGCGTTTAATATCCGGCGCACGAAGATTTCCTACAACTCAGGGGCCAAGACAAACCACCCAACAGAGAGCGGGCAAAGGACCCAAACAGGCGCGTCTCCGGACACGAGCCACCAGCCAGGGAGCCCAGAGAGCTGCTCCACGTGGGCAGTCACCGGAAACGCAAACTAAAACCACAGGAGGTCCCGCCTGACCGGCCCCCCAGGAGGGCCAGAGTCAAAACCAGACAAGGGCAAGTGGCCACAAGGATGGGGCACGCCCGGAGGCCGCGTTCCAGGGCTGCTGGTGGGGAAAACAAACTGCAGCTGCTCAAAAACCTGAATGCAGCATTGCCGTATGGCCCAGCAAGCTCACCTCTATACAGACCCCAAAGACTTTTTTTTTTTAAGATTTTGTTTATTTAACAGAGAGAGAGAGCAAGCACACGAGCAGGGGGAGCAGCAGAGGGAGAGGGAGCAGACCCCCGCTGAGCAGGGAGCCCGACGCGGGTTCAATCCCAGGACCCCCAGATCACGACCTGAGTTGAAGGCAGACACTTAACCGAGTGAGCTACCCAGGGGCCCCCCATTCCCACCATTTCACGCAGGAGGAAATGAAAACCCAAAGAGGGGCGCCTGGGTGGCTCAGTCGTTAAGCTTCGGCCTTTGGCTCAGGTCACGATCCCAGGATCCTGGGATCGAGTCCCGCATCCAGCTCCCACTCGGCAGGAAGCCTGTTTCTTCTCTCCCTCTGCCTCTCCCCCTGCCCATGCTCTCTCTGTATCTTTCAGCCTCAAATTAATAAATAAAATCTTAAAAAAAAAAAAAAAAGAAAGAAAGAAAGAGGGGCGCCCGGGTGGCTCAGTGTTTAAGCCTCTGCCTTCGGCTCAGGTCATGATCCCAGGGTCCTGGGATCGAGCCCCGCATCTGGCTCTTTGCTATGCAGGGAGCCTGCTTCCTCCTCTCTCTCTGCCTGCCTCTCTGCCCGCTTGTAATCTCTGTCAAATAAATAAATAAAATCTTTAAAAAAAAAAAAAAAGAAGAAGAAAAAGGCAGAAAGTGCTGACCCAGGCTGCACGTGGATGAGCCTCGAACGCACGAGGCCAAGTGAAAGCCGCCAGCCACTGGGGCCACGAACTGGAGGACCAGGACGAGTGAGGGGGGAAAACAGGCAGTTCCTAGGGAAGAAAGGAGGGGTCGGCAGGGGCGGGGGGGGGGGGGGGGGGGGGGGGGGGGAGGGGGGAGGGGGGGCCAGAACGGGTCTGTGCGACTCCGTAATGCGGATGTGGAAACAGCCACAGCGCACGCCGCCGTGAGTACCACGGAACAGACACGCCAGCGTGGTCGGTTCTCACAGCAAACTGCCGGTTCTGTGTATTTTGCTGCAGTTTGGAAAAAGTTGAAGAGAAACTGGCCACTCAGGGCAGGTGAGCTCGGTGGCAGAGCTGTACAGGCACTGCCCGCTGGGTCACGGGCGGGGTCACAGGAAGGGTCACGGGCAGGGCCACAGGCAGGGCCACAGGCAGGGCTCGGCTAGCCAGCCCAGGCAGGCACGAACGGTGGCCTGGCTGCAGGGTGACCGCCGGGGCACGCTGGGGATAGCAGCCCCTCCGAGGCCAGCAGCTGTGTCGTCGGGGCACGGGGACTGCAAGGGGACAGAATGCTGGGCTGATGAATAGCACTCACCCTGCCCGGGGGTGCCGCCCACACTGGGCTCATAGCCTCTGGCCTCTGGCCTGCGCCGTGGGAGGGGACCTGGCTGCTGTGAAGGTCAAGGACTCTAGGGCTGCTTGGCGCTCTGCAGGCAGAGTAAGACCTGGGGTGGCCAGTGCCACCTTAAGCCAGGAGACCCCATTCACAAGCTGGAGACAGAGACCACTGGCAATGTGGGGGGAGGGGGAGGTCAGTCATGGCCCCAAAGATATCCGCGTCCCAATCCCAGAAGATGAGGAGGTTCCAGTCCCCGGCATGAGAACAAGGTCGCACAGGTCATCAGACGCCAGCCGCTGACCTTACAACAGGAGGGTGACCTGGACCGTACAGGTGGCCCAGGGTCATCCCAAGGCCCTCCCTCCCGGGGCACACGCAGGCAGGAGAGGGGGACCCCCGGGGACAGGGAAGGACCCCATCGCCCGCCCCTGCTGGTCATGAAGGTGGAGGAAGAGGGGGGGCTGTGAGCCCAGGAGCACAGGTGCCTAGAAAGGGCTTCCTCCCCGGAGCTCCCTGGGGCATTGCTCTATGACACATGACTTCAGCCTGATGAGACCCACATCAGGCTTCCGCCACCCCAAGTTGTTAGAGAACATGTGTGTGCTCTCTGATGGCCCCCCAACTTGTGATTACCTGTCACTGGGGCCCAGGGAGACTGAGGGCACCTAGACCAGAAAGGAGGAAACAGTGCACTCCAGCAGCTGGGCCCGTCACAGGGTCCACTCCTCCGGCCCCAGCCCTGGTCCGTCCTGGCACTGGCGCCGCAGGGCCCAGGGAGACTCACGCTCCACCTGGCCCCCACCCCCACCCCAAGGGCGCCCCCCCCACCAGCCCGCCAGTCCCCGCCAAGGGGGATGAGCCAGCACTGCACATGCCCTCCGTGATCCCACCAGGTGGGATGAGAGACAAAGGACCCAAGCCTGGGAGCCAGGAGGGGACTCAAGCGGCAGGCCTCATCCCAGGTTGCTCCTCTCCCAAAAGGGGGTTAGAGGAAGAGGGACACTTCAGAAAATAGGCCTGCACTGCCTGGGCAGAGAGGCACTTCGGGGCTGGGGGCCCGGGAAGGGGAATCCAGCAGCCTCAGTGAGGAGGGTGAGATTGCAGTGGGAGAAAGAATGTCTTCCCGAAGGCCAGGGTGACGAGACGTGCTGGCCACCTCAGCCAGCAGGAATGCGCTCGCCTGCAGCCCAGGGCCAGGGAAGCTGCACGCAGAGTGCCCCCGCAACCTGTGCACAGCCGGCTGGCAGGGCGGGACCACAGGCCACAGGGCTCCACCAGCCTCCCTCTCACCAGGGGCGGACTCC